CTTAGTACCAAAGTTGCAGATTTTAACAATTTTAAGTTTAAGTGGAGTTTAGGCACAAGTTTAACATTCACAACATATAGCAAGCAAGCATGCAAAGAGTATATGAGCAGCGGAAAGTAAAGCATGCAACTTCCAAGAATGTAAAGGGAGGGGTTTTGGAGGATTCAAACGCAATTGGAGACACGGATGTTTTTGACGTGGTTCCGATAGGTGGTGTTATCGTACATCCACGTTGATGGAGACTTCAACCCACGAAGGGTAACGGCTGCGCGAGTCCACGGAGGGCTCCACCCAAGAAGGGTCCATGAAGAAGCAACCTTGTCTATCCCACCATGGCCGTCGCCCACGAAGGACTTGCCTCACTAGCGGTAGATCTTCACGAAGTAGGCGATCTCCTTGCCCTTACAAACTCCTTGGTTCAACTCCACAATCTTGTCGGAGGCTCCCAAGTGACACCTAGCCAATCTAGGAGACACCACTCTCCAAGAAGTAACAAATGGTGCGTTGATGATGAACTCCTTGCTCTTGTGCTTCAAATGATAGTCTCCCCAACACTCAACTCTCTATCATAGGATTTGGATCTGGTGGAAAGAATATTTGAGTGGAAAGCAACTTGGGGAAGGCTAGAGATCAAGATTCATGTGGTAGGAATGGAATATCTTAACCTCAACACATGAGTGGGTAGTTCTCTCTCAGAACTGGTAAGTTGGAAGTGTAGGTTTGTTCTGATGGCTCTTTCCATGAATGAAGAGGAGGTGGAGGGGTATATATAGCCTCCACACAAAATCTAACCATTACACACAATTTACCAATCTCGGTGGGACCGAATCATCAAACTCGGTCGGACCGATTTAGTAAACCTAGTGACCGTTAGGATTTTCGGTGGGACCTAAATGCAACTCGGTAGGACCGATATGGTTAGGGTTAGGGCATAACGTAATCTCGGTGAGACCGATTACACAAACTCGGTGAGACCGATTTTGGTAATAAGCTAACCAGAGAGTTGGTCAGGCAAACTCGATGGGACCGATTACTCAAACTCGGTGAGACCGATTTTGGTAACAAGTTAACCAGAAAGTTTGCATTGTAATCTCGGTAGGACCAATTGCTCAAACTCGGTAAGACCGATTTTGATAATGAACATACACAGAGAGATTACAACCCCATCTTGGTGAGACCGAGATCCCTATCGGTGAGACCGATTTGCCTAGGGTTTGTGGCAGTGGCTATGCCATTTGAGCTCAGTGGCGCCGGATAGAAAGAATCGGTATGACCGATTTTGACTTTAGGTTTAGGTCATATGTGGATGTGGGAAAGTAGTTGAGGGTTTTGGAGCATATCACTAAGCACTGTGGAGCAAGAAACTCATTAAGCAACACCTCATCCCTCCTTGATAGTATTGGCTTTTCCTATAGACTCGATGTGATCTTGGATCACTAAAATAGAAAATGAAGAGTCTTGAGCTTGAAGCTTGAGCCAATTCTTTGTCCTTAGCATCTTGAAGGAGTTCCCACATCCTTTAGTCCATGCCACTCCATTGTTGAACTTATCTGAAACATACTAGATAAAAGTGCTAGTCCAACAAGAGATATGTTGACATTAATTACCAAAACCACCTAGGGAGCACTTGTGCTTTCAAGAGGACTCTTCCTTAGTGATCCGTGGGGAAGTATGGTGTGAAGAAGAGAGGGTGCCATGGCAAATGTGAGGTGGATGTCATTCAGTTTTAAAGAAGAAGGAACCAGCGAGAAATATGCCGCTACGACGGTAAACCGAGTGGGGGAGGGGAGGGTCTGGCGGGAAAAGGGAAGGGTGCGTCGTGGGATGTGGTTTTTGTGTTGGGACTGCGTATTGAAGATAACATGTCGGATAGTCTGGACAACCATATTTTCCCCTCATATATGGGATGGATTTTGGGGGAGTCTGAACTATCTAGACGGTTGAATTTTGAGGAGCCCGTTGGATGCCCGTTTGATATAAAAACATGCAGGAACATACGAAGGAGAAATGAGTTTCGACCTTGGAGACGAACTTAATCCTCTGTTTAATCCATATGCATTATAGCCCGTAGCAACGCACGGGCGTTCTACTAGTAACACATAATAGGTGATTATAAACTTGCAAGATAGGATCAAGAACTCACATATATTCATGAAAACATAATAAGTTCAGACCTGAAATCATGGCACTCGGGCCCTAGTGACAAGCATTAAGCATAGCAAAGTCATAGCAACATCAATCTCAGAACATAGTGGATACTAGGGATCAAACCCTAACAAAACTAACTCAATTACATGGTAAATCTCATCCAACCCATCACCGTCTAGCAAGCTTACGATGGAATTACTCACGCACGGCAGTGAGCATCATGAAATTGGTGATGGAGGATGGTTGATGATGACGATGATGACGGATTCCCCTCTCCGGAGCCCCGAACAGACTCCAGATCAGCCCTCCCGAGAGAGTTTAGGGCTTGGCGGTGGCTCCGTATCGTAAAACACGATGAATCCTTATCTCCTATTTTTTTTCTCCCCGAACGTGAATATATGGAGTTGGAGTTGAGGTCGGTGGAGCACCAGGGGGCCCACGAAGCAGGGGCGCGTCCTAGGGGGGCGCCCTTCACCCTCATGGACAGGGTGTGGGCCCCCTGGAGTTGATTCTTTCGCCAGTATTTTTTATTAATTCCAAAAATAACCTCCGTGGAGTTTCACTTCATTCCGAGAACTTTTATTTCTGCACAAAAATAACACCATGGCAGTTCTGCTGAAAACGACGTTAGTCCGGGTTAGTTCCATTCAAATCATGCAAGTTAGATTCCAAAACAAGGGCAAAAGTGTTTAGAAAAGTAGATACGACGGAGACGTATCACAGACTATGCGAGAAGGAAGAAGTGAGAGGGGCGGGGGTAAAAGTGAAAAAAGCCCCCCCTATCCTATTTATAAGGAAATAATAAAATGGCATGCATGGGAATCAAGGAGGTGACATAATTATCTCAACAGTGGAGACGCCTCGATTTTCGGACGACGAGTTAATGCAAAAGATTTGTTGTGATGTCATAGGTTTTTATGGATTTG